AACTGATTCCGAACACCGACCCAGACAAACAGACGGCCGGGGGTAACTTTGTCCTTAATATCGTAAATAAAATACAAGCCAAACAGTGCTAGGCTAACTGATTCCGAACACCGACCCAGACAGGGGTAACTGATTACAAAAAATACAGAACTCACTCCTAACGATAGCAATCAAAGTACCCAGATCCCATTCATCTGCTTTCTTACACAAATACGTTAATCTAGAACCATTATCTGACAGCCTCCTTCAGAGAACCTTAAAATACTTTGAGAATAATATGTATAAAAAACGAGCTGATATGAGAAATAGATCGTCACCGCATACATGATGGAAATAGTCCCAAGTACCTCTCTTCAATAAGTAGGTATTACTGTAAGTATAAGAACAAGCTACCTACAGCTAGCACGTAATAATATCATCAGAATAAAATATCGTGAGTGTATTAAAAGAGTTTCTATATGTACAATACACTTCTAGTAGACTGAACGAGTGGAAAGTGTGCGATTATTAACGGAACTGTTTGCGAATGTGCAGAATTTTCGCTCAAACCTAACACAAGTGAAAGTGATAATAACACATTAAATGTTAACAGTGTTACATGGCCAAAGGAAAGGGGACAGAAGGAGTATTCAGGCGTAATTCCGGGTACAAATACTGACCCTCATGCAGTAATAACATTAGGATTTTCCCGAATATTAAACGTAAAAGTGAATTACATTAATCTACCGTCCAGGAGGTGGGGGAGGTCATCGCTGTCCCCAAGTCATAAACGGACCATACAAATCTTCATTCGTTCGGTCAGGTAACTTTGAGAAACATTGTGGACAAAATAAGTAAAGCATTTAAAAAATAATAATATCTGTAATCTGTTTCGCATTATAGTAATCTTATCGCTAAAGTTTTTGTAATGCTGGTTTCAATTTAAAAATTCATTTGTATTAAGTTTCGATTTTAAGTAGATATTAATAAGATAATTTATTGTGCAATCGTTTTTTAATTAGAAAAATTATCACTTTTTATATTTTATACTTTATTTTCATTTAAATTAGCCCCCCAGTGGCACAACGGTATCTCCGCGGACTTACAGCGCTAGAAACTGGGTTTCGATACCCGTGGTGGGCAGAGCACAGATAGCCCATTGTGTAGCTTTATGCATAAACAACAAAATTTAAACTTTATTATTATTTTCCAAAAAAGTGTCTAGTTGTTTTCTGGTTTTATAGTTTTTATATTGAAAAGCGGCCTCTGGTGCTACGAAACTGGTAAATTTAAATGCATTTTGGAAAAGGGAGACTATTTAAAGTTTATATATATACAAGGCCGTCTCAAAGTAGATTCTAAGGGTTCAAAGAACCCGCTCAAAATTTTAGGGGCGTAAAAATTTAGAAAAAATACTAACAAGCAAAGAAAAAAAGGTATCTGTTGTGAAAGTTTGTGTGCAGAACTTAAGTTAATAACTTATCGAAACTTCAACTCCAGACAAGGTATTATTTTATCTACATATATATATTTAGATATACATAAATAAAACCAGAAATAATCTTTAAATCAACATCCTGAATTGACCTATATTTCATAACCTAATTTTTATTTCCCTTTCGATTGCATACAGTAAATGAATAACTTTAACAGAAGTAAAACAACTGAGATTAAATATCTTGAAAAGAGTACTAACCTCTTGATACAAGAAATACAAGAATCAGTTCTAATGTTATCATATCATGCATAACCTCTCGATATTTTTAATATTTGGCAAAAGTTGCTAGGCATAACAATATATCCGAACAGAAACATATTTACCAAAATTAGACATGTAGGAAATCACGAAATTGGAAAGTGTTCTTCTGACGATATCTTCTGTAACTCTGTTGCAACAGCGTGGAAAGACCTAGTTTTTTCTTTTAAGGATTGACCTAGCTAACGGTTTGAAACTCAGTTTGGTTAGGACACCATTAATGTACTGCCTATAATATGGGGTGCACTTATCAGTAACTAACAATGGCATCATTGTATTGAGTAAAATTATGACGTATTTCCAGTAGCACGGTATATGTCAAAAACCGCCACATGGTTTTTGTTGTTCTTTTTAACTTCTAGTGATCGCGTCTAACACTGTTGTTGTGGCCAAATGTTTGTGAAACAATCTTTTTAGATTATAACTGGAGGAACCCAGTGAACAGCAAAGGACACATTCATGAGGAAAAAAAATACTATTGAAAAATTGATAGACAATTTTATAAAAGCAAAAATAGCTTAAAGAACCACGATAAAGAGTGGGAAACAACGGTTTTAACGTTTATCTCTCGTGGGGTCAGCCTCTGTGAAAGTAGTGTCGTTGTACTGGTCCCCAAGGCTGCTTTCTGATAGCTCTGACGTCATACGTGAGTAGTAGCGCACGTGCTTCCTCATCAACCCCGAGTCCTCTCTCTCAGCCGAATCCTTGCGAGGGATACATGAACTAAGGAATCCTACCAGCCCGGTTGAGGCTTTACAGAGGAGAAAAATACATAGTATTTAGATGCTAAGCCTTTAAAATTACAATTACAAAAATAAAATTAAGCTTGATCTTATCAATGAAACAGAAATTGAGAAACTTCTACTCTGCAGTTACAAGTTTTAATAAAAATAAAAATTATGGTAAGAATGTCAAGACACAAATAACACGTGAATGGCGCTCTTATGGCTACAACAATTAATAAGCTTTCAGTGATAACCGCGCTAGTCTACGTGAGATCTTCGTTGGCTTTCCTGTTGAACCTATCATAAACATTGTGTGACAGATTGGATATAAAAGCATCCACCAATAAATACGTAGTAAACATACTTTTCCCAAATGTGATTAAACATTAATAATTTATGTAAATGAGACTCTTTATTTTTCTTCAGTGCAACAACTGTGCTGCCTGAGCAAACTATATCAAAAGTGCTTTATAAATAAGTGTGATTTTACAATGAAGAATAAACGTTATTTGTTATACTCAGTACCTGAAAAGCGTATGATACTGTGACCGGCCAACCACAACGCTACATACACAATTACCGATAGAAAGCATAACACCACTCCAGTAACGACGAAGCTAATTGGACCAGCTCTGTCAAATTCCTGTTATCAAAGAAAAAACAAGGTCTTAGTTAGTCAAAACGTTTTACCATAAAACTATCTTTAAGCTCTTATTCTTTAATAAAATAAAACTTACAAAACTAAGTCACTGATTTAATATTAAACTAGCTCGGTAGAGAACAGTTTTCGCTCATAAAAGTTTTCCAGAGCACGTATCATGAAGGATTTTCAAAATTTTGTGACGCAAAATGAAATATTAAGTTTAAAACATTAAAAGTTTAATGTCGCTTTATATATTTAGTAATATCCTGTCATTATGTTATTTTGAAGATGAATCTGAAATCTACGCCTGCCACTGAAGGACATTTTCATTTATGTTATAAGGCTTATTGCGAAGCGCCATCTGTTAATAACCTAAGACGATGTTTTTCTTTAGAAATTCTAAAATTGCTTTAAAAGTAAAAGTGGCAAGAAATTACTGCCGATAGTAAACCAGTAAACTCTGGATGTAAAACTTAACGATAGTTTAAAATGAAATGAATATTAAAAGAAAGATGAAACTTGGGTTAAATGACAGTGTAATGGCCTATATTCCATATTGGATTTTCGAGCATAAAATCCCAATTTTTACATTGCTTTCTGTTGTTTAACAAAAAACAAAATCAACACTTACTCTATTTGTTTTAATTGTCAATAAAGTTGTAAGAAAATGTTCGTTAGACACGATGTTGTGTAAATATTGACCAAAGCTAAACTCATAATCTAAGCCAAGTGGTGTAACAACAAAAGACGCTCCCCTTCCATAAAACGTAATTGGGTCCCCTACATTTATTCCTCTTGTCGGTAATTTTTATTTTGTCAGGTTCTTTAAGACTTCTTTTGGCTCCCCCTCTTCTCCCGCAATTGCTGGGGCATAGTTACGCCACTTTCTAAGCCTAAATAACCTAGTCAGGTTCTTTGGGTCTTCTTTTGACTCCCCCCTCCTCTCCCGCAATTGCGGGGGCATACTCACGCCACTTTCTGAGCCTAACTAACTTAGTCAGGTTCTTAGGGTCTTCTTTTGGCTGCCCCTCCTCTCCCGCAATTGCGGGGGCATAGTTACGCCACTTTCTAAGCCTAAATAACCTTGTCAGGTTCTTTGGGTCTTCCTTTGACTCCCCCTCCTCTCCAGCAATTGCGGGGGCATAGTTACGCCACTTTCTAGGCCTAACTAACTTTGTCAGGTTCTTTGGGTCTTCTTTTGGCTCACCCCTCCTCTCCCGCAATTGTGGGGGCATACTTACGCCACTTTCTAGGCTTAACTAACCTTGTCAGGTTCTTTGGGTCTTCTTTTGGCACCCCCCTCCTCTCCCGCAATTGCGGGGGCATACTTACGCCACCTTCTGAGCCTAACTAACCTTGTCAGGTTCTTTGGGTCTTCTTTTGACTTCCCCCTCCTCTCCCGCAATTGCGTTAAGCCACTTTCTATGCTTAACTAGCACTAGTACGGCTGTAGAGAGAGATTGTTGATAAAGTTCAATTTATTCTCGTGAGTCACTAACTAATTTCTAGACTACTTGGTGTTTCTATCCACTGTTTGTTATCATTTTATATATACATTATTTTGTGATATTCAGCATACACTACGTCATTAAATGTTAAAAATATTATGAGAAATAAATAATTCTGCTAAAAATCAGATCTTGGTACGTAAATATTTTGGTACAGTAAAGTTTTGACCAACCATATCTTTACTCCGTATAAAATTAAAGTTACGTTACTTTTTTAACCCATCACATGTAGCAAAAATAAGGAAAAATTATGACTATATGCCCGAAAATCCAATAAGAAATACAGGTCGATAAAGTGCAGTTTTACTGAAACTTTTTTAAGCGTATCATCCTCTTCCTTAACCATTCTTCTTAATGTTCTTTGAATGTTGTACGTCTCACTGTTAGAGATGAAATAAATCTATTATAATTATCCCATAAATATTGATTTCAAAATTTAATATATATACATATATATTCTTTTTTAGTTGATCTCCTTCGTGCGTCGATCCACGCGGTTTATGAGCTCTTCGTTGTTATTAAAAATTTATGTAACTTGAAATCAATACTGCCATCTAGTGGCATAATTCAAATTAGACGTGTCCAATGACTGTGTCATGTAAAAACAAGTATGTATTACAGTATATATTATATGAAACATTTTTCTTAATACGCATGTTTAAGTTGAAATGTTTAAATTGTCACTAAATGTCTTTATGTATCTTTTTTAACGAAGTTCTGTTCGAAATCCTCAAAAGATGGCAACAGTTGTAACACAAATTACTCAAAATACTGCAACGGTCACATCAACATTTACAAAGCAAGGGAACTCACGTGACCAATGATAACCGGCATGGACATTTCCCCTGCAGCAGCTCCAAATACAAGAACACTGGTAATGGTCGCTAGGAAAGTAGAGCAGGGTTATACGTACCATCTATATCAAATTTATTTAAAAACAAATCTCAGAGTATTTTATTAACTTCGAAGAAATAGCATGTAGGTGATTAAAAATCTTCAGAGGAAGAAGAAATGAGATATATATATACCCAGCAGTTCTTTAAAGAAGAATTGAATTTGTTTCACTTTAAAATGGTGGAAACGTTTCGTTACTTACGGGTGATGTGTATGTACTGTTCAGTAAGGGAAAGCGCTGTCGGGAAAACGCTGCTCATGAAAACTCCCACCAAACAAGTCCCGAAAATCAGCGCTGTCTGGCTGCTAGGAAAACTAATCATCAGAATCATTCCTATCGTGCACCCTACCTAATTAAGAAAAAGTAAAAAAAAACAAATTCAGCAGCACAGATCAACTAGTTGGTGGATTGTATTTAACCCTTTTAGGTTCGCTCTTATGAGGTCAGTCATGTAACAAATAAAATAATTGCAAAAAAAATAAATTAAAAACTGACGTATATGATCCACAATAGTATAAGTGATTTTTAAAATTAACTTAATATAGTTATGGGAGGTAGGCGAAATATAGTTATAGGAGGTAGGCGGAATATAGTTATAGGAGATAGGCGGAATATAACGACTGGGTTATTTGGTTTTGCAGATGGTCAAACGAATACAAACAAAAGTAAAAACATGGCGGACAACAGAAACCGAACTTGACGACAGTTATGAACAAGTAGGCCTAACTAATATCAGTAGGCTTAACTGTTTGCACTCTATAAACATTAAAATTATAATTGTTTCTTCCCATACGAATATATCCTACATTTTAATGTTTATACCATCCGCTACAATGATCAGTCTTTATTTACAAACATTAATTAATTATTTAAAAATATAAATATTATGCTACATTTAAGAATGCTCTTGTAAAACTTGACGGCAGGAGTCACCATTTTCCTTCTGGGCTTTTTCGTCTCTAACTCGAGAGTCAGGGCACAGAAAAAAAAAAAGCCAATAAATCATATGGAAATTAAAACAACTTTGGAGTTATTGTCCTCCTAAACTTCAAATAAATGTTTATTGATAATTATGCACTTGACCCCAGATGATGCTATAAGGCTAACTTGTTAAATATCAACTGTAATTTATTACATGTAGAAAAGTTACATGTAAAATCGTAGCACCTCTCACAGGGAATAACAAACCAACACACAGTTCTTACTTGTTGTAATAAAAAAGCACGATATCGTGTGTAACAGTTAAAACGTTAGTGAAAATAACACAATAAATCAAAACAAACTATTAGAAGACTTAAAATGAGAGAAGCAAGTTTCTTCGTATTAATACGTCGAAACTAGTTTCTTTAATTCAAGTCTTCTGACAATTTATTCCATTTACTATGTTGTTGTTTTTCATAACTTGTAATTCATATCTGATTTTAACAAAAAAATGTTTGTTTTAAAACGTACCTTAAAGGCCGCCACACTCTCTTTATATAGGACTTCTACAAACCAATTAACAATATGATTTTGGTTCCTTTTTGTTATACATTATTGCAAAGATATGATGTAATATTCTATTTGGCCAAATATAGACAAAAATATACTTTTCAATCAAACTTCAAAAAATCATCTAACACGCAAATAACAGAGTCGTTCTAGCTAGCATGAAAAAAAGTCAATTTCAGCTTATATGTTACGAGCACGGTCAGTTCCACATAACATGTTATATACAGAATCAGTTCCAGCTAACACGTAATCAATAGAGTGAGTTCCACACAAAATGCAGCAAATAAAGTCAGTTCCGACTAACATGCATCATCGTCCAACTGACGATAACACGTAATGAACAAAGTCAGTTCCAGTTAACGTGTAACGAGCAGAGTCAGTTTCATCTCACGTATAAAAAAATCAATTCCACTTAGCGTATGAAAAGTTTTAGCTAATATGCAACAAATAGAGTAACATATAACGAACAGACTTATTTTAATTTAAACATGACATGACAGAGTTTATATAATAGTTATGACTAATGAGTTATGATCATTTTACGTTCATGACGGCCACCTGTGTTTTAGTTAACATTACCTTATCTGTATAAAAGACAATAGCGAAACATATAATGATTTTTGTTCATGGCAAACAGTACGAAATATAGACTTACAATGTTATTTAGCAACATGAATGCCGGGGAGAGTTTTGTTGCCAAGGCGATAGAAATGAGTCGCCCACCAGCAAACACTCCCTAGAAAAGTAAGAAGGATAACAATGATGGCAACGTTACAAGCCTACGAAATGAAAATTGTTGTTGTATTTAAAGCATATAACGTTACGGTTTTAAACACCAAAAACTAGGGAATCACTGAACTCATTAGGCTTAATGTTAGTAACAAAAATCACACTAGATTGTAGATTTTTTTTTTTTTAGTTAGTTCATTATGGATTTCTATTCAGAACTATGCAAAAATATTATTTTAAATCAGAACTCGTCAGCTGAGGTGGTCATGGTAGTAGAAAAAAAGTCCATCCAGGATGGTATTTTATGTATAGTACAAAACATTTCATGGTACGGTTTTAACATCCTTAGTCCAGTGTGATTTTTATTACATATAAAACATTTTAAGGTTTAGCTTTCTTTTAAAAATTGTAGTTTCAAACATTAAAAACATCAAACGATAAACTTGGATCAAACAAAACTTGTAGGACACCTAAAAGGAAGTACTTTTATAAAATATAAACAAAACAATGTTTGATGAATTTTTTTATATTGTAATTATAAGCCGCTTTAAGTAATAGTATCTGCTTACAGATGATTTCCATTGCTGTAGGATTTAAAATCATCTGATTTTTGATACCACTAGGTGAAGTTATGTTAGATTAATGACATAAAATACATTTTAGAAATACTCAACTAGTTTTGAGAGTGTTTCTAAGTGATAACGGAAGAAATGACGTTTATAACAGTCATATTTAAAAGCAGGGAAGAAATACGAAATAAAACCGTAATTTCTTTTAAATCGCTTAACCTAATACGTAAACGTAAGCTGCCGATAGATGGCTAAATCTACACGTGACCAAACTTAAAATGGTGATATCAAACGACTATCTACATCGTACATTAGGGTTACCAGATTTCCTGAGTGAAAAACTGTGACATTTGTTTTTCATACATCTGTAACATCTCCAAAACAGTTTTAATTACATCAACACACTTTTTACCGTTTGTTAAATAATCTGATGTTTATTGAATCGCGTTTTAAAACCACAGACAAACAAAATTTTCTAAAGTTTATCTATATAAAGAAATAATAAATATAACAAAAGTTGTCTTGAACCTATTCAAAGAAATATACTGCTTTTTCGTTTTCTTTTGTTCTTTTCAAATTCTGATTCTAAAAGCTTCCCAATGACAGAAAACACAGCAGAAAGGGAGGGTAACACTGTATTGTGTGATCTGTCATTGTCGGGTTTAAAGGGGCCGTTTATAAATATAATGACAAACAGTATATATCAAATTGATATTGAGGTACAAAGAAACTGGAACAATTTAATATTTTTACTATATCTGATAGAGATAAAAAAAAAGGATAAAAGCTGGGACGTTTGGTAACCTTACCCTTGATTAAGGTTAGTGCTAACGTAACTGTTATTACACCGTAACGAGCGTCTAATAAACATCAAACACTGTTAAGATTAAGGTTAACAATCATCAAACATTATGTTAAGGTTAAGCTTAACAAATATCAGACACTTTAAGGTTAAACAACTCAAATGCCGTGAAAGGTACATAGGTTAATGGAGTCATTCTTAAACTTTCCTCGTCAGTCAGATTATCAATAACCAAAAATAGAAGAAAATCTCACAGATATCAAAATCTTACCCAGAACAAAGCATTCAAGTAAGCTGCTTCAGATCTCTGCAGTCGCGCTGGACCTTTCACACCATATGAGTAGATATATCCCCCATAGCCTGCCTGGTGGGGAAAATCAACACTGAATAGATAGATTTATGTAGTAACTTCTACCAGAAGAGCTGTTAAAATCTATAATAATAATTACAGTTAACAATAATCAGTGGATAGATAGATTGGTAGATAGATCGCCTAACTGTTGAGGAAAAAATAACAGTGGGTATATATATATATTAGTCCCCAACAGTCTGTTAGGGAAAAACAACAGTGGGTAAATTTATTAGTTGATAGATCATCATAGCCTGACTGTTAGGGGTAAACAACAGTGGATAAATTTATTAGTTGATAGATCCCCATAGCTTGACTGTTAGGGGTAAACAACAGTGGATAAATTTATTAGTTGATAGATCCCCATAGCTTGACTGTTAGGGGTAAACAACAGTGGATAAATTTATTAGTTGATAGATCCCCATAGCTTGACTGTTAGGGGTAAACAACAGTGGATAAATTTATTAGT